AAATTAAATATTTTAACAGGACGGAAAATGAGACACCGAAATTTAAAGGCGCATTTCAATAGCGAATGATGTCTTCCAAAAGATATACAAACTATTATGAAACAGGAAAATTTCGTTAGAAACAAAAACAAAAAGTGTACTGAACTCTTATCTAATATTGGTCCTCATATGTGGGAGTGCATGATAGACAATCTCCTCACCGTTGAAGTAGAGATTAAAGCAACAGAAATATGGTTCTACAGAAGGATGGACTGGCATTTTTCTTAACGCGAAAATTTTATAGATAACTGAAATACCTTTATATCAGATCAAAATAGAGAATTGAAATTCTTCAGGTACATAGAGGCAAGATGGTTTGGAAAATGTGTCACTCATCTGGCAAAAGAGACAGGAGAAGGCACCTAATAACCTACTTAACGAGCTTGCGTAATTGGCTGGCAAAACAGGGATAAGAAGAGGCGGCAAGGAGACGGAACTTACTGATGGCCACAGAGATGTGGAGAGCCATGATCAACCACACATAAAAGGTGTATGGCACATAGAAAATGATCATTCAGAATTATTATATATTCAGGTAGTTAAGTTTCGTACATGTTTTGATCAATGAATGATTTGGCAGAGATTTACTTGCTGTAGGTTGCTATTTCTTTCTGCGGTAGACTGGTTGCCAAAGAAGGATATAGAAGTCTTATATTTAAACCATAGCTGTGATGAAACGAGATGTATTCACTTATTTTGCCAGAGCATTTGCACGTAAGTAAATACAAAGAACCCGACTTGAATTCGAACTTGGTTCACCGATTTCTCATTCATGCCGGCATCCATTACCCTTCAAAACACATCCCATTATAAAAAGAAGATTTTATTCACTACACACTCGCCGTTCAATGTAATTCAGTTCCGCAAACTGAATTTGACTTTACTTATGGTCATGATGACATTCATATAATGAAAAGACTTCAGGAAATTGCAAACATCTTTAATAGAACATTTTATATCAGATATTTTATGCCTAAAGCAGCATACAACCAAATCAATAGGGATTCTATTATTCCCTCCATTAGATAAAGTCTTTTAATCACTGAATATCTCTGATGGACGAATTGTGCCTGTTCAAAATATCATACGAGAACCCTAATACGAAAACATTTTTAAACACATCAAGGGTATTACAATGAAGAAATGAAAAACGGTGGCTATAAAATCTTTCCCTATACTATGTTCAGCGCATATTCAAGCACCGATGCAAAAAGATGAGTAAGCTACTAATAGAATCAACGTTTCTGCCTTCCATACCGAGGTCAACAAACTGATTATGAAGAGGTAGTTATGCCATTGATATAGGTATTCATTATTGACATTTGAAATCAATATCCTCTAGCAAGTGTTTCCAGAAATCGGAATCAAGAAAATCCTTTCCAAAAAAGAAACTATAATGATCTTGAATTGGAATGAAAGCAGCGAATCCATCATACGAGGAATTAAAATAATACCATGGTTTTTTGATAAAACGATATCCCGCTTACTATAAGAGATAAAAGAATTTGAATGTTGGATATGCTGTGCTGGGGTAGTTTAAACCAACAGCGCAAATTGTTACAAATACAAATTTTAAACTAAAAAGTAATATTGTGAATAGACTTACAAGAATAAGTACTTTCTGTGAATGTCTTACACAGCACTAAATTCTTCAGAACTGGCTAAACAGTAATATATATAAAATCGCTTTCACAAATCAATCATTTAAAATACCTTCGAACGAATGCACTCTGTAGGTTTAAGCGAGGGTCATCGTTTTTAAACTTTGCGGGCTATAGCTACCTAACCGAATGAAAAGAACTTTATCAAATAACATCACTTGAGAATTTCCCCAGTAACAAAATACTAAAATTGATATTACATATAACTTAATGACAAAATAAAATAATAGAGATGTTGACGTTCCACACTAATTCAAACAGAAAGTTAGGAAAGATACGCCATTAATACTGGAAAGAGCGATAACAGTTAATAGGCTTGAGAGTCCAATTTTCCCTGAAAAATTTTTTTAATAGAGATGTATCACTGGCTGCTCCGCCAGTAAATGCCGAATATTTCATGATAAGGAAACAGCTAATATTAAACATTATCATTTTTGACAGAACCTTTATAAAAGTTCATGTAATAATATCGACAAAGCAACTATAAGGAATACTATATAATTGTGATGAAGAAAGGTTTTTTAGGAATGCGAAATAGATATATCGTTACAACCACTTTCCGAATATAAATTCGAGAAAACCAGATTACAGAAGCATAGCGTAAAAAAAAAAAAACTAATATAAGTTACCACAAATTCTGTCGTACAAATCAAACTGGCGTAAAAATCAATTTCAAGATTTTTAGCTAAATATTCTGAGTTAAGACGGTACTATATAGGTCGTCTCCCTAACATACGGTAGAAAATAAGTGGCCCAAAACTTAGGCATCAAGATAAATGAATTTAGCCTACAGCATACGATGACCTGTGCAAAATGTGTGTTACTATTTGATTATTTTATATTATTTTTTGTCAATATTTCAAGTATGTTCAGCAAACAGAAGTGTTAGTAGTATATATCTGTGGCTGCCTCCTGGAGGTACGATAAGTGATTTATAGTAATTGTTAGGAGTGCCACCACACTTGTTTACAACTCGGTGGTAGAGATTTACACTTTATACCCACCATATAAGTCGTCACCTAGTTCTGGAAATGTGTTTTTAAGCTTGAAGGCTCTATTTGTAAGCTGAAATTTACGGTAATATATATTTTTTAATTGAGGAAATTAATAACCATATTGGATTTATTGAATCTGACTTCAAAATGATAATTATTTTGAAAGACGATAATGAATTTAATTCTTGGAGGAATCCACTAAGAAGATTAAAAAAGATATGTTTGATTTAAGAATGCTTGTTTATAGCGAAAGGACGATTATTTTCTTAAAAAATGATCATGACTAGAAGAAAAATCAAAGGAATAGAAGAAGAATTAAGAATAATAAAGGAGAAATGAAATAAGGCCAAATGAACGAGATATGTGACTGATAATGGAGGCAGCTTAGAAATGAATGACTGAAAGAAATGAATCGAAATAACTTGAAAAAAAGATGAAGAAAATAAAAAAAAAGTGGATCGTCTATTCAGGTGCTAAAATAGGCAACGGTCAGTGTTGTGTCAAGATTAAAACCAGACTTTGGAATATTGATATCCTACGCAATATTAATGTTTTTTTTTCAACTTTAATATTAACATAATCCTATCCTCACATGATTACTTTCTATTATTTGCTGTTTTCGTGTTTTCCTTCTAGAATTCAGCAAGAACCGGTGGTCTATATTGATGACATAGGTATTCATAGAGGGTATAAGAAAAAAAAATCATTATTTTATTCAGAGTTTCAAAAATTAAGACTTCAGATATATCTTTCGAAAAAAATTATGATGTGAAATTAGAATGGCAGTAATCATAGCATCTACCCTGAAGCCTTCATAAAATTTGATTTAACTTTGAACAAATAAATTTTAAAAAGTTTAAATCAGTTATAAAAATTATAGATAAGTTGGTGAGCGTATACGTTGTACTCGAGTTACAATTTATTCAGCATTGTAAGACGCTACAAAAAGAAAGCATGGACAAGGAACTACAGCATGTTCTTAAATAGACTCATTAGATCTAGAATTTAAAACAAATTTATCCTATAAACTTAAGGAGATGGCTCTTCATCAGACCTTGTAAATTACAAAAGAAAAGTTTTACCAAATAAAAAAGATCAAATATGTAAAAAAGAAAATATTGATAGAATTGAGCTACATTTCCATATTAACAATGACGAAAAATATTGAGACTCCTATTCGATTAGAAAGAGTTGTATTTCGTGAATTGGAGAAGTCAAATTTCCCGAAATAACTATTTCAATAAATAGATTTTTAAAATATCAGCAGACATTGTCACTAACTTTTCGTTTAATGATTGATTGATCAATTTGATTTTTACAGTTTATCAATCTATACTAGAACATACCTATTCTATTGTAAATAGACTCCCCCACATATAATAAGTAGTAGTAGTAGCAGTCGCCAGGGGGCTCAGTGAGCTGGTCAGTCAGTCGATGTCGGACATTAAAGTATCAACCACCACAACTAGATTGTTGCGTCATTAACTATTATTTCAAGTTCTTAGGACCGACTTAGTGAAATACAAGCCTCCACTGTGAAAACTACTCTACAACACACAATCTTTTATGTTATTTAAAGCCGAAACATATACTGGGATTATAAGAATATTTTGGTGATAATAATGATTTTCTGAGACACATCTTACTTTTTAATCCATAGCTAGCAGGAAAAGCAGTGGATTCACAACTTGCTCAGGGAGATTTGTGCGTAAGAAAATGCAATGAACCTGACTGGAATTCGAAATCAGCTCTTCGATTTCTTATTCGTAGCCTTTACACATTACATTAGCCGCACATACAGCTTACATCAAATGATATTACCGAGCGGTCTGCCATCATGTTACTGATCAAGTTAAACTTTGGATAACTTTGGCAACCGTATGAGAACTCCTGTTTTAATGTGATATGTCCTTAAGCCTTAATGTTTCCTCTTTGATCGATATGCTTATTTTTTATGACTTATCAACTCTCTAATTAAAGTCGAAACCTTTTGGATTAGAATAATATGTTTTTTTCAAAAATCTGATATTTCTAATTATAATTCTTACTATTTAACACATAGTTGGAGGGAGGCAATGGATTCATACCTTTCTCAAGAGCATTTTTAGTCAATATAAACATTAAGGGTTATGTATAATTATTTGAAAACATATTAGCTTGGATATTAATACAAATATATACAGGAAAATATCAATATCCATGGCACAAATATAAACAAAATTTATAACTAGCTAAAACAGGTAGATTTTTAAAGGATAGTTTCTTAATAGAATACCTACAAATAGTATATGATCGAAAGAAGAGATCACTTGGTATTCCCAAGCAGTCGCTCATCTAGGTACTGACAAGGCTTGACGATGCTTAACTTCGGTGATCATACGGGAACCGGCGTCTCAATATGTTGTGGCGGTAAGTTAATAATAAAGAAAGGCAATCTGTAGAAAGGCATGGTCGCATTTATCCTGAAGGGATATGGCATTGAAAAAAACAAAAAGGTAATGTAATTATATGAGAGAAAGAAAATAAAACTCAGTGTCAATGCAGAATTGGGGATAGTTGACAAAAATGGAGTTACAATGAAACTAGCAGCATGGCCCGGCGTTGCCCGTGCTTGATTCAAAAATCGTACGACTCATACAGCAATCGCTATTACTTGACTTAAAATATTTTTGCCCTTCCTTGCCTTTAAAGGAGTGCCCTTTACCATGCTGATGTTGCTAAATGCCTTACTTCTTGCCTATCTCACACTGCAAATTTTTTCTAAGCTCTATACTAAACATTAAATCTGTTACGAAAAAAGAACTAAACAAAATGAACACAAAACGATCAGCTTTAAAAAAGGACTCGTAACTGGAAAAACCAAATGAAAAAAGAATGTTAACAACAAATACTTTTTCACACCCAACCCAGTTCTGTGGAATCAGAATCAACGTTGAGTTTAAGCAAGCGAATGAGCCAATTGGAGTAAAGTGCCATACAGATTTAAATTTTTACCACTTGTGACGAATGCAGCTATCGATTTTTTTGGCATGCTAGCAGTCAGTCAGCTTTTGGCTCTCACGCTGACCAATAGAATCTTCCTGCCTATTCGTGGCAGCCAGCTATAAGTTCTCATTCTGGCCAGCAGAAAATGGCCGCAAACTACATGAAAACTGCCGTAGAAGCATGAAAAGATTATTTCCATTATCGATGGGATTTAGGAAATGCAATGTCGGTCTTGGCCTTCCCGTTTACTTGGAGCATGTGCATGTAAATTTTGGTACAAATCCGTCGAAAACTGCGGCCGCGCATTCGTTACACACACACACACACACACACACACACACACACACACACACACACACACACACACACACGATTAATTAACGGAAAGAACAATGCCATGGCTAACATCGAAAGAGAAAATCGAACAAAGAACAAGAGTAAACATACAGTATGTAATTTTAGTGAATTTTCGCTACCTAAGTTGTGTTGTCCTCATCTTTGTCGTCATATTTATTACAACGTTTCGGCCGTTGTACGTTCTGGCTTTCTTCAGGTGGTTGGAATGTCGAACATGGACAGGACATTTGGCACAGTGCATAAAGGCGTTAGTTAGATCCAGTGAAAAGACCCAAAGAGTGTGAGTTCAATACCCGGTTAAGACGGTGGAGAACTTGGAGAGGGGAATGAACAGAATATAACTGACATCCATTAAACATGTCATGTGGAACAAGAAAAGTCTACGCCAGTGAGCGAAATAAAGGGTTCAGTTCGACATTCCAATCACCTGAAGAAAGCCGGAAAGTACAACGGCCGAAACGTTGTAATAAATATGGCGTCAAAGATAGTCCGAATAAAGTAAACAGTGTACATAATAACTCATCTCAGAAATATAGACAGATACCTAAGTTTTAAAATTAAATTTTAAAAATGAAAAATCATTCTTAATTATTTCATTCTAGTTTTAATTTAAAGCTAAATGATTAAATTTATTATTTCAAGTAAGTAAAATAGTCTGGTGTCTTTCAGATAGAAATTATATAGTTTGAAATGCCAAATAATTGCTCAATTTTTTTTTTAAATTCTTAAAAGCGGCTATTTTCTTATTTTTTAAGAAATTTGTAAACGAACAAATTTATGGTGTTTAAAAGTCCTTAAAAATAAAATTATGGATTTGTGACACGTTATTTGAGCAAAATTAGAAAATGTACAGGTAAATTAATCTGATTTGAAATAAATGTTACTTATAGCATAAAAAACAATATACAAGAATTTCTTAACGATGTGTTCCTCTTTCTTTAATCTTTTTTTATCGAGAAGCTCTTAAGGTGATTTATCGAGAAGCTCTTAAGGTGATGACAGCTCTTATGGATGATCAGAAATGATATATTTACGAAAACTAACTGAACACATTTTTTTCATTTTTTAACTACCTAGTAATTTTTACAAATTAACATATTTTCAGCAATTATTTAATATTTTACTACCTTAAATAAAAAAAATAGTAAATTGAAGTATGAGCCAAACTAAAATAAATGCATAAAAGAAAAATATTTAGTGAAATAGCAATTAAGAAAAGTAAAAATATTTTTTTGATATATTGAAGGGCTTATTTACAAAGACGTTAATGATGAAACGTTAATGATAAAACAGAACTAAATTAAAAGTGAAATAATTACAGTACGTCAGACGACACTTAAATCAAGTGACATTTTTAAGGATTATGTCATGTATAGATTTCCATATGCAGAAATTAGGAACGTTTTTTTTCACTAAAAATTATTTTAAAAATATTCGGGCACAAACAATTGTAATCAGCTTTGCAAATTTTGATTCGCTAAATTGCACTATTGAAATATAGTTTGGAATGCCAAATAATTGCTCAATTTCAAAAAAAGAAAATTTAAAAGCGGCCATTTTCTTCTTTAGTGGTTTCTTTCGTAGTTTAGAAAAAAAATTCGTTGTCATGGCTACGTTTTATATCCTCAGCCAAAATCTTGGGTTTGTTGGTATCAATTGCTTTTCTTGAAATTCTTCTATACTTCGATATATATATATATATATATATATATATATATATTGGGAAATATTGAAAAAAGCCCCTGCCTACAACAACATTACGAAAAAATGCCTACAACAACATTACGAAAAAATGCCTACTTTGCCTACATGAAAAAGTAGCAATAATATCACACAAACCGCAAAAGAACTTACTAAACAAAAAATCAGAGATAATCTCCAAATGTAGGCATGAGAACAAGTACCTATTATCCGAATTCATACCAAACGGATAAAACAAACCACCAACAATCACAATTTAAATTCTGTCTCCAATCCCTTGAAACATTACTATCACATCATACCATATAAACCCATTATTAAATTGAACTACCCTCTCACCCAGCACATTGAATATTAAACTAAATATCACCATATAAATTAACCAATAAGGATTACAAATTTCTACCTGTTACATATACACAGTCACCAAAACAAACAAATAACCAGCTTTAAATATAACAAATAAAGCCCTATTTTTCTTTTTTTTTTAAATTTAAAAAAATTTTTAAAATAAATATAAATAATAATAATCTTTACCTATCATAATTTTAAACAAAATCCCACCACACGCATATACATACATGCGAGGAAATATTTTCCAGCTGGAAAATACATATGACATGTAGACATCAACGAGACATTTCCGTCACACTTCCAATGTTTAGATTTCAACATTTCAACATACAAATGCGTATGTATAGATATAACAACACCCGTATACATACATGTGTCAAAGCCGAAACTGCCCACATATGTTTATATATGTATGAGTCCCGACGGACGACCAAGTGTGTATATGTGTCTGCATACTTCGATGTTTGCGTTAGTACGATGAATGAAAAACGACAAAATTTCCCCCACCACTTCCACAATAACACCAATACACGCAATCTACATAAACCCAAATTTTTTAAAACATTAATCAGTTTGTCTGACGATCGCTAAAGCGTGAAACCCAGGTTCACAGACTCACATCTATCCAACCAAAAATATATATATATATATATATATATATATATATATATATATATATATATATATATCGAATTACGTGGTTTACCTAAAATATTAAATCCTAAGATTACAATTAGCCACCAATAGAGATTAGAGAAGAAGAATGAAAACTAAAAAAGAAAATATAGGGGCCCATTATTATTATTATTATTATTATTATTATTATTATTATCGCTGTTTTTATGAAGTTATCAGATAAACCATCATAGAGTAAAAAATCCCACTGACTTGAAAAGATCTAGTAACTTATATATATATATATATAAATATATATTGCTAACACTCTATATAACCCATTCTAATTGGTTTTATTTTATATATATATATATATATATATATATATATATATATATATATATATATATATATAATAGATGCCTATATGTATATATAATGTTTTGTTGTAGATGGTAGACAAGGAAAATTTGATGTAATTATATTTAGTTTTTCAAACATTGTTACGGTTTTCGCTTTGGTGGCTGTAAGGTGGTGCTAAATTTGTCCTTTTTGCCTATTGTCCCAAGTGATTTCAGTCACTTTTTATCCCCTCTGAATAAACGCTACTAGTATTAAAAAGCAGAAAAACAGATAAACATGAAAAGTAATTAATAACACCTAAAAAACACCCCTCGACAATTGTTCTAAATACCACCCTATGCCACAATTAAACTTGTTATAAAACAATATTTTTCAAGAAACGAGCAAATTAATAAACAAAAAAAAATCTCTCAATACAATTTCAAAAATAAAAATGTAGAGGAATTTAAATTTCTACCAATTCGGATCTGATACCGAGAAGCTTCTCTCTAATAAATATGGCAAAATTTAATTTGATGGACTCGCCTGTCGATTTCGACATATTTAGATGTAACAACCTCATTTACTTTTATGTGTGTGCCGTATGTTACACTTCAGTCTCGCCAGTGATCTGTATACAAGTTTACATATTGTGCAACAGCGAGGATCTAGGGTGATATTTGTTTCTTAACCGGTCAATACTACTGATTACAAAATTTCTTATATCACACTAGTACAACAATATTCAATTATTTATATGCAGAGCAATACTCGAAGTTAGCACATTGACAGCCGAGAGATTACTCTTTAGCATGTCTTTTTCAACTGTGAAGCAGGCTATATATGAAGAACTTAGATATTATGTCGTCACTCTTTCTTGCAACATGAGCAGCCCAGCAAAGTTTTGATTGCATCTGGAAAGTCACAATTCCACAAAAGTTGCATACTGCAAGTTCAACATTGTAGACCCTACCATCAAACGTATAGCCACAGGTCGCGCGGAGAGAAATTCTGTTGAAGATATCCAACGGATTGCTATGGGA